CTCATGGACACAAATGGCATTGATAAAGATGGAATATCTTATTTAAATAAAAATCTGGCCTTCGCACTAGAATTATGAACAATACCTCAATGAATGAATTTGCCAATTGTTCTTTCAGGCATTTGATCTTTAATAGCACTTATAAATGTAGTTGTGTTTGATGAAACACATAATCAACATCCTGATATCACAGGAGATGATTATGCAACCTGTCCAAAGCAGTTCAGTTATTAAAAAAAAACCCTTTATATCACCTAAATCATGATACTGCAGGGAAGACCCCAAGTAGAGTGATAGACCAGGTCTCTCATGTACTTTTGTTGTAATGTTTATTAATAGTTTAATATTTTTCTTCCATTATTTGAACAGCCTCTGTTTGCCTGTTCTAGCATTACCTGTCTTACTTTGTAGATTATTAAAGAAGGCTCATGTCTAGCTATGTCACTGTCTTCAGTACAAAGTACAAGTTAGAGCTTAACAAATGCTTTTAGAGGGTAATGTTGAAGCATTTCCAGCCTCTTGAAGTACTCCACTGAACAAGTTTCCAAATGTCAACATTCATGCCCTTCTACTAAGCAGAGAAAGAGATAATGAACAGTCTAAAGCCTCTCTCATATAGCTGCTATACCCAACCTAATACATTTACCAGTTCTACATGGGGCGGTCATGTAGCACAGAGAATAGAGCACTGGGCCTGGAGTTAGGAAGAATTATCTTCATGAGTTCAAATCCGGCCTCAGACACTTACTTGCTGTGTGACCCTGCACAAGTCACTTAACCCTGTTTGTTTTGGTTTCCTCATCTGTAAAATGAACTAGAAAAAGAAATGGCAAGCCACTCCAGTATCTTGGCCAAGAAAACACAAAAAGGCATCATGGGGAGTCGAACATGACTGAAAAATGACTGAACTGAACAAGAAAAAAGCAATACAAATACACTGCAAATGATGATGATGGTTGCTCCCTACTAATACTCACTAATAATAATTGAAATTGAGCAATGATTACCTTTTAGGTTTACAAAGAGATTTAGATACATAATCTTACATGAACCTGATGACAACCCTCTGAGGCGTGTGCTATGATTGTCCCCATTTTACAGATAAGAAAAATGAGGCTCAGAACACAGTGACTATAACACTGCAAATAAAGGCAAATGAAGAGTAACAAAATTCTAGTCAGTATCAATATCATGCTACCAAAATTAAACAACTCATCTCTTCTTTATTTAGCAATCAATAAAGTAACTGATTTAGGGGGAATGTTCTTTCTTAAGATCAAGTCAACAAGTATTTATTTATTTATTTATTTTTTGGTAAGACAATTGGATTTAAGTGACTTGCCCAGAGTCACACAGCTTGCGAGTGTTATGCGTCTGAGGCCAGATTTGAACTCAGGTCCTCCAGACTTCAGTGCTGATGCTCTATCCCCTGCGCCCATCAACAAATGTTTATTAAGCCCTACTTGTGCCAGACACTGGAAAGACAAAGAGACGCAGAATTAGCCTGTCCTCTCAAGGAATTTACAGTTTTATACACCCCTTATTATCAACATATTTTAAAAGCAAGGCACCAGAGCATATTATCATGGGCTCTACCTGCTAAAAATGCGACTGTGATAATAAGAAATCGTTAATATACTCACACTTAAAAGGTTTCAGGCAGGAGACTTAAAAGAATATTCAGGGACTATGCTCTTTACCCTCCTATTTTGGGGAGGAGGGAAGGGGAAAGGTGAATTTATTGTATTTACTCTAGCCAAATGCCTGAGTTCACTTAATCTAATGACACAAGACACCAGGAAGAGGATGTGGGAGGAATTTAAAATACTTATGTGAAAAGCTAATTAGAGCATGGGCAAAATTTTGGAAGACAATTAGAATTTCACAGGTTCTAATGACTTTTGGAGGAGATCGTCAAACTGGACAGAAGACAAAAGACATCTAGAAATGGCAAAGATAACTGAGTAATATCATGTAATAAATTAAGCCCTTGTTCTGATTAAATTATTTGCAAATACAAGCTTCTCCCAGAAGAGAATTATATTTCTATAGTGCAGCAGCAACTTGGAAAGGAAGTTACTGGTGTTTGTGGTCTATTTTATCAGGAAAAAAAATGACTTTTTTGGTGGGTGGCAGAGGGAACTACTGACTTCTTTAATTTTATAGAAGGGATTTTTCCCCTTAAATGCTTGCAAGTTCCCAATGTTAGGTTACATTTTTGCTAAGTGCCACAGAGTCAACCAACTTGCTGATGTGCGTAAGTCTTATTGATTTTCCAAGTATGAAAACAAAAATTTCAGGTTAGCACAAAACTCTATAAATAAAATACCGCAACACACCCTGCGGTTGAAAAATTTGGTTTCCACTACCAATATCCTTTCCACTTAGAAATTCTAGACCAATAAAGCCCAAACTTTTTGGAGTTGCAGAGATATTTTGACTTGACTTTGACTTTGATTCTTTCTCTCTTCCCAACCTTCCAAAACACATACCCAACCAAAAGTACTGATGGGATTTTTAAATATTAATCTTTTTGGAGGATTTGTTGAATCTTTCATGGTGAAACAAAGAAAAGAAACCTTGGGGGTAGGGGAAACATCCACAAAATTAAGCCTGGGATATATTGCTATAGGTCCTTTATTCACTGAGGTAGATACAATTTTTTCTTTGATCAACCATCTAAACAATGTCAAGGGAAGCAAAGATCCACTTGTGAAAAAGTTCCTTAACTGTGTTCCTAGAAGTATAAGAGAAGTCATTGGTTTTACATGATCAACTCTGACCTTTAGTTTCCTCCTCCTCCTTCTTCTCTCCTCCTCCTTCTCCTCCTCCTCCTCCTCCTCATTATCATCATCACCATTTATACAGCACTTTCAAGGTTTGCAAAACACAGGACAAATATAATCTCACATAATACTCACAACTACACTGTGAAGTAGCCTCTATTATAAGCTTCACTTTACAGATGAGGAAACTGAGGCAGACAGAGGTTAACTGACTTGCCCAAAGTCATATAGCTTGTAAGGACCTGAGCCTGGATTTGAACTCAGATCTTCCTGACTCCAGGTTCAGTGGTTTATCCACTGAACAACAATCTGTAAGGTGTCTTAAAGTTCTAAAGTTAAAATATTCTATGATTCTCCTTTTAAAAAATATTTTTATTCTGAACTGAAACACTAAATAAGATGGACATTTCTATACACATAATAGTACAGAAAAAGGTTTATAAATGAAACTGCAAATCCCATGTAGCTTCTTATCTTTTAAAAATATAATTTAATTTTTCTTTTTAAAGATACTTAAATATAAATTAAATATAATAAATCCAACATGTAAATTTCAAAGCCACACTGCTTATCTATGATTGATTCCATGTTTTTCAATACATCCTACTCTGTAGAAGTGATGTCATTAATCTTTGCCTTTTCTTTCTCCCTTCTAACCCCTACTTTCCTTCCTAGTTTCTTTTCCTAAAAGAAAAGGAAAGTAGTTTTTTCCTTAATTTTCTCTCTTCTTCTCCCTCCCTACCCTTCTATGATTTCCTATCCTTATTGTTAACCATTTAATGACAACCCAAGCACTAAACAGAGTCTTCTCACTGGAGATGAAGTCTGAGGATCTGGGTTCAAATCCTGACTTTAGCACTTCCTAGCCATGCAACCTTTGGTAAGTCACTTCAACTGCTCCTCTTCCCACTCAATTCTGCAATGCCTCAGTTTCCTCATCTGTAGTATCTAGCTCACACGGCTGCTGTAAAGCATTTTATAAAGCGTAAACGAACATTTAATTATTTCATGCAAATCTTTCTTTGCTTTTCTAACATTGTATACAGTAACAGCAATATTGTTTTAAGAAATAACTGTAAGCAACTAAGCTATTTTGACTATTATAAACATCCAAATTAACTACAAAGGACAGGACAGATGAAGAATGACACTATCTGCATGCACACACACACACACACACACACACACACACACACACACACACCTATTTGTGTCCAATGGTGGCCATCTCTACAGTGGGGGGAAGGGGAAAAATGGGAAAAAAAAGTTTACATGATAACTTTTTCATATGTTCGAAGGCAATAGCAAATTATACATGGTGGGTTTGTAGTTTCATGTGCAATAATCTGTTTTATTGCACTATGTTGTGGAAATGCCTGTTTTATTCCATGAATTAAAAATAAATTTTTTTTTTGAAAGTGACATTTAAGTGTGGGCTATGATTATCTTCACTGGAAAGGGGGGGAAAATCTATTACGAAACAAATGTATACCCATATAAAGGAAATGAAGTCATTAAGTGAGACAACAATTTCGGGGACAGTGATTTCAAGCCAGCTAATTGACCCATCAACTCACCACAAACCAATATGTATTTCCTCCAAGTATGAATTCAAATCCATCTTCTTAAAAACAAAAAGAAAAGAAGAGGAAAGGAGGGGAGGAGAACAGAGAGGGGAGATGGGAGATGGGAGGATCCACTCAGAACTAATCTGGGGACTATCCAGTATTTGATGAGTCATCACAGGAAATGGGGAATTAAACTAGTTCTGCTTGGCCCCAGAAGGCAGAACCAACAACAGGGAGTGGAAGCAGCAAAGAAGCAACTTGAGTTTGATGTCAAGAAAAAACATCCTAAGAAAAAAAGCTATCCAAAAGTGCAATGTGCCCACTCAGGAAGGAGTGGCTTCTCCTTCACTAGAAGACCATTTAATGACCCTTGGTGCCATCTCTTGGATAGGAGATTCTTTTCTAGCCAGAGATTGGAATAGACACCTTCTGAAGCTCCTGCCAGTTCTGAGGTTCTGTCCTGCCATGAAGGTATTGACCAACACACTTCTATGTTGACTCATACACAAAAATACTTTCTTTTTCTTAAAGGATAATCGAAGTCAATTGTATTTGAATGGGTTTAATTCTGAAGACTGGAAGGGCAAACCCCCCATCTTCCCCCATCCAGAACCCTTCAACCACAGAGAGAGGTGGGCACACTCACCTTCTGCAATGCTCCTTGAAAGGCCTGTTTGATTCTTCGACAGGGATCAGACATTAATTTTGCATCCTGACCCTCCAGAGACGTGTCTTGCAAATCTGAGTTTTCATGGAGCTTGAAAAGTTTTATAAAGCAACAGGTGTCATCATCTGAAATCCTGTTAGGGTCCATCTGAAATAATATTTTAAAGGATGTTAGAATGGCTGTTATTCATCCTGCTATTTAACAAAGTGTTGCTTAGGCACAAAGTCATTTCTTCAAGATGTCTCATTTCCCCAGCAGCATATTAAAAACCCAGTGCAATATAACTCAAGTTGCTTCACTTCAGTCTGAAGGGTGATTACATACTCTCCACAAAGAGGTGGTGAGCACAAGTAAAATTCTTTAAGTATCTTTTACCATAAAATTAAAGATTTTAATATTATGAGTAAGAGGAAATGAATGGATACTTCAAGAGGGTAGGAAAAATGTCTTCTTTGTATCTCCACAATGTCCAACACACCACTCTGGCTATAAGTGTTTGAGAAACATTGGTTGAATGCATGAATGGATTAATTGCACAGCCAGTGGAAATAGGGAAAGGGTACATTTTTTCACTGCTGATTGCCTCTAGGATAAAATGTAAACCCCTCAGCTTCTCAATCTCAATTCTCTACATCTCTTCACAAGCCAGCTCCATCTGACCTCTCCAGCTATTTTTTCATATCATTCCCTTTTATATAACGTGTTCAGAGCTCTGAATTCAAACTGGCTCATTTGCTGGCTGTCGTGATTCCAGCTCTTGATTCCATGCCTTTTCAATGACTTTCTTTTATTCTTGGAATGAATTCCCTTCCTCTCCTCCATATATTAGAAACCTTAGCTTCCTTCTTGAAGAAGATAAGGAAGAGCCTTCTATAGGAAGCCTCCCATCCTCTGCTCTCTCGTTTTTCATATCCTCTTCTATTTCATTATCTATGTCCATGTGGCTCTCTTAGACAATAAACTCCTTGAAGGCAGAAACCTTTGTTCCTGTCTTTCTATCCCCAGCACAAAGCACAGTACTTTGCCCAGAGGGGGAATTTAGTAAAAGTGTGTTTAACCTTGTAACAAGCCAGCTAGATGGCAAAGCAGATGGAATGTTAGGCCTAGAGCCAGGAAATCCTCAAGTCTGTTCTTTGACAGATTTACAAGCTCTGTGACCCTGGGCAAGTCACTTAACCTCTGTCTATTTTAATTTTCTCATTTGTAAAATGGGGATAGTAATAGCACCTACTTCCCAAGGTGGTTGTGAGGAGCAAATGAGATAACATTTGTGAAGTGTTTTGTAAACCTTAAAGCACTATTTTAATGCTAGCTATTATTATTCCTTTTTTAGCTAACCATATTTGTTTGCATAATTTCACCCTTTTTCTTAGTAAAGAACATGGTTGAGGTGGAGAGGATCTGTGCTTCCAAGTAACAAGCCGGAACTAGTGGTATAACTTTCATGTTTGTAGAACCTTGGGATAAATATTTTTTAAGCCCTCTTCCTTTTTCTTTTTATCAATTATTCTCACAACTTCAAACTACTTCCTAATAACAACCAAAGCAGCAATCAGTGGGGAAGTATCATGTCTACGTACGGTGAGGGTAACTTATAGTGAGCCATAACACATTTACTTCTCAGATTACAGATAACAAAATACGCATGGCTGAGGTGGTGGAGCATGCAAGGTGAATTCTACTTTTGCTTTAGTGTTTGTACAAACATGGCCCAGAACCCAGACTCTGGGTTTACACAGACCAAGCTCGATCTTAGTGGTTTCCCATAAATCACTCTTTGATTCATCACCTCCCCTCTCCATCCAAATTTCCCGCCCTGTAAATCTTAGAATTTGCTTTATTTTCGCCTGATCTTGGATCCACCCTAAAAACAGGGAAATATAATTGTGTCTGTCTACTCAAAGAAAGGTTAAAAAAAAAAGCCCTTCATTTCCCAAGCAAGCACTCAAATAATGTCCCTTACAGTGAATAGCCTTTTTTTCCCCTTAGTCAAATATTCAGATGGGTCTGTCATCTCATCCATTTGGATGATATCCGGTGATAAGAGATCACAGACTTTATTTCACCTTATCAAAAATAGAAATTATCCACAAAGGATTTAGAGGAAGAGAGACAGAAACAAAAGAAGATGAAGAAGATGGAGAAGATGGAGGAGGAGAAGAAGGAGAAGAAGAAAGGGAGGAGAAGAAGAAGAAAAGGAGGAGAAAAAGGAGGAGGAGGGGAAGGAGAAGGAGGAGAAGAAGGAGGAGGAGAGAGGAGAGAAAGGTGTAGTTCTTTGAAACACTTGAGACAGCTATAATGTGACTCCTAGTCCTCTCCAGACCAAACACCCCTACTTCTCATAGGGCATGAACTCAAGTCCTTTCACCATCCTGGTTGCCTTCTTCTGATCACTTTCTTGCTCACCAATGTCCTTCCTAAACTGTGACGAACATAATGCTCCATGCATGGTCTGATTAGAGCAGAGTACAACAGGACTATTACCTCTTTATTCCAGGAAGTTAAGCCTCCCCAAGCAACCCAGGAACATTAGAATTAGACTTTTTATCTATTTAAGCCATCTCACACTGTTGACTCATATTCCACCTGGAGTTCACTAAAACCCCCAGATCTTTTCTTTTTTCCACATGAACTGCAACCACCCAATCCCCATCCTTAATCTGTGAAGCAATTTTTTAAGCCAAATGTGAGACTTCATCTTCATCCCTTTTATATTTCAGCCCAATATATCAAGATCTTTTGGAAACCTTACTGTCCTCCACTGCATGAACTATCCCTCCCCCATCTTTCTGTCATCTGAAAACTTCAGCTTTTATTTAAGTCATTGATAAAACCATTAAATACCACTGAGTCACACATAAATCTCTGGGGCAACAATACTGGAGACTCCTTTCCAAGTAGACATAGAAATACTAATGACTATTTTGAAAAGTTTGGCTGTCTTTCAAATAATCCCAACTCCATCTCTGTTGTATCTTTCCATCATTTCCAGATTAATGACAAGATTTTATCGAATACTTTGATAAAATCTAAACAAACTACGTCTACATCATTCCTCTGATCTACTAACACTGTCCAAAAAGAAAAAAAAAAGATTAGTTTGGCATGGCCTGCTCTTAATGAAGCAGTATTGCATCTTTATAATCACAGCCTTTCTAAATATTCAGTAATCAACTCTTTAATAATACATTCCCAAATTTTGTCAGAATTGAAGGCAAGTTAAATACCCTATAGTTTATATACTCTGTTCTTCCCCCACTTAAAATAAAGACATTCACTCTTTTCCCTATACCTATTCTCCACAGTCTTTTAAATTAGCAATCACATTTGACAGCATTTTCAGTATGTGTGGATTTGTTTGTCTGAGAAATTTAATTGGAATCCATCATAAGTAGCTAGGTGCTCTTTTAACAATCATTTTATGTATATTGGGTATCAAATCACTATTAGCCATCCTTGTTCTGTGCTTTTCAAGGTGAAAGTCTTTTAGACTCATAGTTACAAACCTATGGTTTAGATACCCAAAAGAAAAAAATTCTCTGAAAGTCAGTGGAGAAATAATTCTTTATTGTCTGCTAAGCCCTGCTTTCCTCTATGGAATTATACAGTCCTCCAGACATACAATAAGTGCTACACTAAGCTTTGGGGCTCCCAAAAGGGAACTTTGTGTGTGGTTTTGCTAGTCAACACCTTTCCATTTAAGACTTGCAGAGGCCACATAATTCATAGTAATAGTTGAGGGTAAGGTCTTAGTCTGCTATTCCACATGGTGGCTCTGTCTTTTTCTGGCCCTCTACCTCTGAGGTCATGTCCTCAATCCTCTTATGTTCGACAGGCTGTTTCCAAGAAGTTGGTATTGTTGAGGAAATCCCCTCTCTTCTCTCTAGGAGGTTAGGTCTAGGAACTCTTACCAGCCCACTACTTCACCCATCTGCTAGCATCTTTCCATCTGAGAAGTTCTACTGCCTCTTCATAGTGGCCAACTCTCAGGAGGAGCCATTCCCCGGGGGATTTTGTGCAAATATAAAGACTTTACCCCCTAACCAACAGTTCAGATTCACTGTATTTGTTTGTGTTCCAGCTGGTCTGCCCTTTCCATTTGATCTAACTCTTCCCTTTTATATTCAAAAGAGCAACTCAGATCCATTATAGCTAGGACTCAATCAACTATTTTCAATGAGATGCAAATGAGTCAACAAATACCCAGGCCAACTTTCTCCCCACATTTGGTCAAGCAGAGGTCCTCAACTATCTAAATACAGGCTACTGGGATATTTACATCTTCAAACAAAGGATGCCAAATAATGGCCCATATCCTTTAATCTCACCAAATCTAACCAACCATTCCCAGAAAGGGGTACCTTCTACATGGGAAAGAATGAAATATTAGAAATTGTTGCACAAGAGTTAAAAAAAGAAGTTAACAGGAATAAGGTAGAATCGATTCATTTTTGAAAGAAGTGATATGAATTAGATTTAGAGAGAAATGTCGGGAAAATTCAAATTGAAAAAAAGTCCAAAAAGCAGCATTTTCTCTAAAAATTTAAAAAGCAATTTTATCAGTTTATTGCAATAAAATATAGTAAGAATTCGGGATCAACAAAAATAGTAAGAATTGAAGAAATGGGCCAAACAATTTCTGGGGGATTTTGCTTTTAACAACCATTTTAAAACTAGAAAAAAAAATCAACAGTAGTATTACATATAAGTTTGAGTCCTAAAGAAAACAAGTGAAAGACCACTTGTTATGATTACAGCATAACATTCAACCAATCAATAAACATTTATTAAGCACCTACTGTGTGCCAGGCACTAGTCACTGTCTTTAAATTTTATTTTATTTTCAGATTTCAGTGGTTCAATAAAATCAGTGAGAATTGTAGAAATCAAACTTTTCCTGGAAAGAGTGTTGCCTTCATTAAATGGGATAGAATTTCTTCTCAAGGGACTCTAAACTTCTTGAAGGCAAAGACCATTTTAAGATCATAGAATCACATATTTAGAGTTGAGAAGGAACTCAGAAGTCACTGAGTCCACCTCATTTTTACATAGGAGAAAACCGAGGGCCCAGAGAGTTTTACTACCCTGCTCAGATAGCAGATCCAAGTGTGTGACCTACAATCTGACACCACAGAAGGGATTACATT